TGTAACCTATAGAAGTTTTTAAATTTTATCTGAAATCGAAAATCAAAATTTTTTTCTTAAATATGTGTCGGTAGTTGGAGGCTATACTACTAATAAAATCAATAAAAACTCAAAAACAAATAAACGGCAGGCACGCAAATTTTAGTCTCAGAAACATATCGTTATCTGTAGTCATTTATATCATTTACACTTATTTCGCAATGACCAAAATATTCTAGAAATTCGAATGAAAACCTAAAAAGACAACGATAAATTAAGTGATAAGTAATGATACGGTAGCTCACGTACATATATATAAAGTTAATTTCGAAAAAAACGTTTTAGTACCATAATCTACACATCTACCAAAATAAGAAGAAAAAATCGATTTTTGAGTTTCATGTAAATAAGTGAAAGTGTATTTCTCATAGTTTGTAAATAGTTGGTAAATAGACTGCTGTCTAAATAAATCTAATATAATACTTGTATTTTGTACTTAACAGAGCTATGCTAATAATTCTGCATTTCATGCACCTGAGCTGTAGATATGAGCAAGTCAATTTCGTTCGTAACGTATAACTACTACATGTGTATCCATACTTTGCTAAAAGAAATGTACTTAAAAAACCGCCAAGTCTCTATTTTCATAGATTTTTAATAAATTATTACGGTTGGTTTGTATTATTTCTTTTATTTTAGGAAATAATAGGGAACGCAATTTTCGAAAGAAGCAAGTTTAAGGAAGTTACAAATCAAATTAGAAATAATAATTTTCAAATAAGAAAAAAAAATGTACTACTATAACAATATTTACATAACGCCAGGCGAGATGCAAAAACAAAAAATAAATGATTATGAATACACAGTTGTTTACTCCAAAATCTAAAAAAATATAAAAGTTTAATAAAAATATTTTCTTTTTTTTCATAATTGTTGTGACACAATACCCCCAGATATATAAAAATAGTAATAGGCGTAGAATTATACAGGGTGTTCCAAAAAGGTTGTGCCAAACTTCAGGATTTTAGAGGGGACATTGTAATGAAAAACTTTTGCATAGTGACCCCTAGTCAAAAATGAGCCGTTTCGGCTCCAGAGTCATACTGATGAAAAATAATAAAGTTTCAAAATGACTTGCTTGAATGTAAAACATGTCAATATCATGTTTTTGTTTATTACTGATAAAGGAAAAAATTATAATAAAGTTTCAAAATGACGACCCCCAACTTCGTTAGATAAATTGGTCCTTCGAAGCATAGAATCACGCACCCGTTGGAGGATGTGCGGATCTTGCTGTACGTAAAGAGAGGCTGCCATCACTCTTCCCAATAATTTCTCTTAGCTGTCAACGGGAGTTTCATACACCAACAACTTGATGTAACCCCAGAGAAAAAAATTCAATGGGGTTAAATCCTCTTCCGATCCATCGTGCAGGAAATTGTTGGTTTAAGTAATCCTGTACAATACGGGAAAAATGTGCAGGTGCACCGTCTTGTTGCAACCACATTCTAGCTCGTATGCCCATAGAAACGTGTGCATTGTCTAATAGCTCAGGAAGTATGATGACTTTGGAGCCGAAACGGCTCACTTTTGACTAGGGGTCTCTATGCAAAAGTTTTTCATCACAATGTCACCTCTAAAATCCTGAAGTTTGGCACAACCTTTTTGGAACGCGCTGTACATTACTAAAGGACTGAGCATCATATCTGCATATTTCAGACAAAACGTACTTTTATCCGTAAAATTCGCATCTGCAATAAAAAAATGGGGGTTCTTACTTAAGATTTCGAAGTTACCCCCTCCCCAACTACAAGGGGCTAGGGAATCGAATTAATTTTAGCATTAATGTATTTCCCCCACAAAATGATTAAATTTTGATTATTGACATTTATTTCGTAGGTGTTTATTTCTCGAGATATTTGAAAGTTTCAGGTTAAAAAATACACCCGGTATAATTGAAGTGTTAATTATGAACATGTAAGCATTATTTATTAGTATAAATGTAGGTATTACTACATATATAAATTTTGTGAAACTCAAAACCGATGCATATCCAAACCAAAATTGCCTCTCCTCTGAAAGTTAAGTAATATCATAATAGTATCTTTTACAAGAAATGAAAATACCGTATTTTTCCTAGGTGAATAGTTTATTCACGCCTTCGCGAATGAGAAAAGTATTTTTATCTCAAGATGGAAATGCTATCTTTGCTATTCATATAAAATTATAAACTATGATTTACCAAATTTTTTATTATTTTTTTGGTTTGTTTTCTCGAAGAAATTCAAATTGCCGCTGTTATTCATATGTCGCAGTCTAATTGCAAATTCAATCTTTTTATAAAATATCCAGGCGTTTTATAAACAACTAGGCAAATTGTAAAATGACGTGTAAATACAATTTTTTTATAATTTGACTGAAAATTTTAGGCGTTTTACAAAATAGTTACAAGTCTTATTGTAAAATGAACGTAAAAGCCAATATTTTTATATTGCGCCTAGAATAAACTGAACTTATTCAGGCGTATTATAAAGAGACTCCCTTCGAGTTAGGTGAATTGTAAGTAAGGCAGACGCGAATTATTAATTTTCTAGTTTCTAGGTTGGTTTTTACTTCATATTATGAGTTTGTACCGTGGTATAACATTATATAAACAATCACTAAATTAGCAGTAGGTATTCTTGTGCTATTTTCTCTTCAAATACTAGGCTTTCAAAATGTGAAAAGATTCAGAACGGAGCTTGTTCAAATAAGTACATATTTTAAACTTTGTAGATTTAGTACTTAACACTCTTATTGTTGAAAAAAATCAAATGTAACAATTATTTTATTTATATGCAATGTTGTACGAATTAGCGATAATATAAATTGATGTTTCATGAAACTGAACTTAACAGCCTTAACAGATTTTCAATTGTTTACAACGCGACTGAAGAAAGTCTTATTCTAAAGAAAATGAAAATTGATAATATGACATTGCAAGTAAAATATTATCGACCTATTTTTGGTTTTTAAATATTTGTATGATTGGAAAAAATACATTCCGTTGAAATTAAGTTAGTTTCTTTTAATTTGATTAATCTAGTGTATTTATTAAGAAAATAGTAAATATGTCTTAAAGCCATATCATCAAAATATGAATATGATTCTGTACTGGAAAATAACTAACAAAATTTGTTTGTTTGTTTGTTTGTTTAATTCCAGAGATCAAGATATTGTACAACATACAATTCTTAATATAGGATACGTCACAGAAAATAATTAAATACAAACATTAATGTTTAAAATATTCATCAACCGAGTAGAAGGCCCAAGGGAGGAGAATATTTTTTTAATTCTTGTTTGAATTTATTTTGTGAATTTATATTTTTTAAATATTTTCGTTGCTTTTTAAATATACGAATAGACATAGACTGAATACATTTAAAACACTTATCTGTCCTACACTGTGGCATTCGCAGATCGTCTTTCTACCTTGTTTATGTATATGGATATCTTCTTGTTTTATAAATTCATTTATGTTGTTCTTCACGTATAATGCACTGAAGTATACGGGGTGATTCAGAACTTATCCAAAAAAAAATTCTGGATGTACAAGGGACCCTTACAAATACAATTTTGTAAAGAAAAAATCAAAAAGTGCAGTTCGAAAATGATTTAAAAATACACTTCTGCACGGCACTGGAAACTGGTCCACTGTAAAACCTGACCTGGCACAATGCGACCGTCAAGGCGGCAGTGATAAAAACGGGCAAAAACTTGAAAGAATTTCGCAAGGAAAAGAATAAATAGAATTTTATAGCACCTATTTTATATCAGCAAATTCAACTGATTTTGCCGCTATTGTTATTATTAATTAATAAAATTCATTTGTGGTTTTAAATAATAAAATAATTTGACATACCTGATGTTACAATAACTGTTCAAAATTTTGTCCACCGTCGTGTAAACACATTTGGGTCCATCTTACTCAGTTTCCACGAACTAACACAAATTCTGTCTTGTTTCACCATAACACAAATACTTCACCATAATACAAATGTTCTCTTGCTTCACCATAAACTAAAACAATATCCAACAACTCCGAGTTGCTATACACGCAAGCCATTTTTGACACTAACTACTAAAAAACTATTATAAACATCGGATTTCAGTATTCGGAGTCGCTGAGGCCACGTGGCTCTCCAGGCGTATTACGAATGACACTAGAGACTACAGTTGTCCAGCTATGTAATGATTGAAAGCACTACAACTTCAATAATTTTTTTTCTCGGAAACCATAAGGATTTTATAAAAAATTTTTTTACAATATTGACTCCATTTCTCATGCCGCTTCTATTCCCAAATTTTTTTGGATAAGTTGTGAATCACTCTGTATGTATGTATATAGAAGGGAACGTTAATAAATTATATTTAAGAAATAGTTTTTTGCATGTAAATCTTCTCGGGACCTGTGCCATTAAACGAATGATATTTTTTTGCGCTATCAAGACCAAATTTGCAGTTACAGGTTTTCCCCAACAAATTACCCCAAAGGATAGTAAGGAATATACATGTCCATAATATAATGAGAGAAGCGTTGAATCAGCAACTACCGGTCTTAGTTGTCTAAATAAAAAGCTTAAAGAGTTTAATTTGTTACAGACATAGGTCACATGTAAACTCCACGATAATTTCATGTCAACATGTATGCCTAGGAATTTACATTCATCTATCACAGGTATGAACTTACCAGAATCAAATTTAATTAATGGGCTGAGCTCAGAACATGTATTTCTTGCAAGAAATTTCATAAGATGGGATTTATCACAATTTAAATTTAACTTATTCTTTTTGGTCCATTCCATTATCCAATTTAAAATGTACTTGGGCATATTTACAAATAGTTTTTTATACAAGTACGAATATATACCTACAAAACTAACAATATTTTCTATTTAGGGTGATAAAAATAACAATTAATGTATAGTTTTGTTTTTATTGTTTTTAGCAAAATATATAATATTATTTTTTTATTTCAGGTTCGAGAAATCTTAGAAAAGTGAACACCAAGTTTACAGCGTCAAATACAGGTAAACTTTCGTCAGTACAAATTTATATTATAAAAACTTTTTTTAAGTACCAATTTTATTAGAAATTTTTTATATGAAGCAAATTATTTATTAAGACTGATTTATTGCGCAACTTTTTTACCTCTTGTAATTTTTCGACAAAACCGATAGTTTTCTAGTAAAAAAATTAGATGCGTCATCGTTCACTAAAGGGGTAATTGCNTTTTTGACACTAACTACTAAAAAACTATTATAAACATTTGATTTCAGTATTCGGAGTCGCTGAGGCCACGTGGCTCTCCAGGCGTATTACGAATGACACTAGAGACTACAGTTGTCCAGCTATGTAATGATTGAAAGCACTACAACTTCAATAATTTTTTTTCTCGGAAACTATAAGGATTTTTTAAATATTTTTTTTTACAATATTGACTCCATTTCTCATGCCGCTTCTATTCCCAAATTTTTTTGGATAAGTTGTGAATCACTCTGTATGTATATAGAAGGGAACGTTAATAAATTATATTTAAGAAATAGTTTTTTGCATGTAAATCTTCTCGGGACCTGTGCCATTAAACGAATGATATTTTTTTGCGCTATCAAGACCAAATTTGCAGTTACAGGTTTTCCCCAACAAATTACCCCAAAGGATAGTAAGGAATATACATGTCCATAATATAATGAGAGAAGCGTTGAATCAGCAACTACCGGTCTTAGTTGTCTAAATAAAAAGCTTAAAGAGTTTAATTTGTTACAGACATAGGTCACATGTAAACTCCACGATAATTTCATGTCAACATGTATGCCTAGGAATTTACATTCATCTATCACAGGTATGGACTTACCAGAATCAAATATAATTAATGGGCTGAGCTCAGAACATGTATTTCTTGCAAGAAATTTCATAAGATGGGATTTATCACAATTTAAATTTAACTTATTCTTTTTGGTCCATTCCATTATCCAATTTAAAATGTACTTGGGCATATTTACAAATAGTTTTTTATACAAGTACGAATATATACCTACAAAACTAACAATATTTTCTATTTAGGGTGATAAAAATAACAATTAATGTATAGTTTTGTTTTTATTGTTTTTAGCAAAATATATAATATTATTTTTTTATTTCAGGTTCGAGAAATCTTAGAAAAGTGAACACCAAGTTTACAGCGTCAAATACAGGTAAACTTTCGTCAATACAAATTTATATTATAAAAACTTTTTTTAAGTACCAATTTCATTAGAAATTTTTTATATGAAGAAAATTATTTATTTAAAAATATTTATTAGGAAGACTGATTTATTGCGCAACTTTTTTACCCTTGTAATTTTTCGACAAAACCGATAGTTTTCTAGTAAAAAAATTAGATGCGTCATCGTTCACTAAAGGGGTAATTGCGAAAATTTGTAAAAATAAAGTAGGCGGATGTCATAACAAATAAATTGTTATTTATCATATTAATAAATTGACACTTTCTGTCAACCAATAATTAGTACCAATTGATTAATTTAATAATCGTAAGGGTGCCGGAAGAAGGCATAATGTCCGAACTGTTGAAACTGAGGAAGCTATACTGGAACATCTAGAACAAGACTGTGGTACAAGCACAAGACAGGTGTCCAGGCAATTGCAAGATTTTCACAGTCTTGTGTGGAATGTAGCTCATGAAAATCTTTTATTCCCTTTTCACCATCAACCCGTGCAAGAATTGAATGACCCTAATTTACTTAACCGCGTGGATTTTTGTCAATGGTACATTAATATTTCCAGGCATGACTTAAATTTCCTAATAAATATACTTTTCACCGATGAAACAAATTTTCCTAGAGTAGGTGCAGTAAGCCTTCATAATGTTCATTCATAGTCGAAAGAAAATACTCTTGAAATATTTGTTTCAAGATGTCAACATAATTTCAGTTTAAACGTTTGGATGGGAATTGTAGGAAATCTCTAGTAGGTCCTTTTATTTTTCCACGCAGGCTTTAAGCGTCCGAGTATCTTAGATTTTTGATCGAAAATCTTCCAACATTACTTGAGGATGTACCCCTCGCTACACGCCATGTGATGTGGTATATGCACGATAGGGCGCCTGTACATAGTACACTTACCGTTAGAGAATGGATAAATTTAAATTACCCGAATTGCTGGATTGGTCGTGGTCGTGATGTCCCTATTTGTTGGCCTGCACGTTCACCTGACCTAACGCCTATTGATTTCTTTTTGTGGGCACATAAAAAGTATTGTTTATGCCACTTCTGTTGCCTCCTTAGAAGAATTACGCTTAAGGTGGCCATATTCCTGGCCGAGAAATAGTGAAATTTCTGGCCTTTTTAGGTACTGAAATCTTTAAAAGTAAAACGTGTAGAACAAAAGTAAGCACAAAAATAAAATCCTTGATGTTTTGTTTATTCATTGTTACCATTTAAATTTACTCAAATAAAATAATAACTAAAAAAAA